GGTTTTAGTCGTCCAAGATTAGGCTAATGCCTAATATAACCAATTATTAATTGTATCTGCAATCCTAAAGAAATTATATTTATTAGATCCAGTCTAAGTGCTGATATGTCTGTCTAAGCTTGGAGTTCAAGTACTTGTTCTTTCAGATTTGGATAACTTTGAGGCTTGGCTTGCTAACACATTATGTAAATTTTCCTATAATTTGACTGATGCGAGAAATTAGGTTGAAGCTTGTCTTCATGTGTGCTAGACCTTTCTTACTCTATTTTAGTAGAATGATTGATAAATTAGTATTGGTTTGGTAGATTATCATGATGTATGTAATGTCTTTCTGCCAACTGCAGCCTCATACTGCTCGCTTGGATCACCGGACACTGAAACTTCTCAAGCACTGGACATGGCAGTTTGTCATTATCCGTCCAGTATGCTCTATCTTGATGATCGTGTTACAGATTCTTGGGTTATATCCAAATTGGCTCAGCTGGACGTTTACCATCATTCTCAATATTTCTTTCTCAGTGGCCATGTACTCCTTGGTTGTTTTCTACCATGTTTTTTCAAAGGAACTGCAGCCACACAAACCATTATCAAAGTTCATCTGCATCAAAGGGATTGTTTTCTTCAGCTTTTGGCAGGTAGATGCTTGGTCTCACACTCTTCTCTTGATTCGTTGAATTTGATCATAAAGGATGAGAGAGAGAAAATAGGTTGATTTGCTATTTGACTACTAAGATTACCCTTCGCCTATGCTTCATCAATTCGTTGTTATTGCTGTCTTTATTTTCTCCTTGAGTTTGTAATTCTTCCTCTTCTACAACTTATGTTTCTGCTTTTGTTAATTTACTTTAGTTTCTTCTTTCTTCTAAGAATGTGAGTCATTTGCTTCCACTACTTCTAATTTTGGACTTATCTTTCCTTTTTCTTACTACAGTGGCTAGAGCAATTGAACATTAAAATTGATTACTGGAAGTAATTCCATTTTTATAGTTAATTAAATAAACATTGAAATTAATTTTTATCTTAGTTATCTTTTTGTGGCATATAGAATTTTAATTTTAATGATATTTAATTTGGGCTGTTAAGTTCTACGGTCCTTGTCAGTTGTTGCTTCTTTCCACTTTTCTCTTTTAAAAATATTTCTTGAAAGAAAAGATGAAAATACTTGTAACCTAAAGGGGAAGCATAAGCATAGCTGCCTTAGTCCCAAGGGGATGATTGAGTGGTTGAGGTGCAAGAGTGACAAGCTGGAGATTCCAGGTTTGAATCCCCAGTACAAAGTGTAAAGCTTATGTGTTTTCTCAGTTGGAGGCCGGTACATGTGTTTATGTACTGTAGCAGACAGATTGCCTGGTGAATTAGTCAAGATGCTGGCAAGCTTACTCAAAGCTACCACTGTCAATTGAAAATATACGCATGATCAGCAGCCCACAGTGTTTTTGTAAAGGCAATTACCAGTTTACCACCAAGGGACATGGTTAGGAATTAGGATACACCTGGAAAGATTCTTACTGATGTAACTGTCTCAAAATATGGTAGTTGTAGTCGAAGACACTTTTTCAGAGACCTTGCAAAGTTCAAATAAGAAGGTTATTTTCTTTGTTGTTGAGTAGGTTAAGTTCGAAGAAACATAAGTTTTGAGTGCAATTCTAGATGGTATTAAGGATTTGGATTTGCATACAAGAAGTTTATGCTAGATGTTTATGAACTACCAATACTTATAGAGCTTCTTTAGTTCTGTTAATCTCACTGCATGTTCATGGTGTGGGGTTAGGGTGGATAGGGGATTTGCTTTATTGGCTGGTAACATCTTCAATTCGTTTGCCTTATGCAAGCCTTCTATTACTTATTCTCTTACGTGTACTGAAACCATATGCAATGGAGCCAAACTCCATTAAACACACGACAAAGCCTAGGGGATTCAACATATAGTATGTATAGATTAAAAGAAAGTACCTAGCACAGTGTAATTTTCCGGCAAAAGGGGTCTTTCAATTGACACCCCTTGGTTATAGGTGGCTCCACACTACTTGCATGCCATTACTGTCAAAGTTCTTTGAACTTCTCGAAAAGGAGGTATTGGTTTCTTCATTTTGTTGTTGTAAGGAAGCCTCTCTCCATTTGATGTTTTTGCTTGACTGAAGTTTGCTTTTACCCCCCCAAGTGCAATAAACTATTCATCTCCGATTTTTTGCAGGGATTGCTGCTTAAAATTCTAGTTGCATTGGGTGTCATTAAATCTCACCATTTTTGGTTGGATGTGGAGCACCTTCAGGAAGCCATTCAGAATGTTTTAATTTGTGTGGAGATGGTTTTCTTTTCTGTCATGCAACAATACGCATACCACGTTGCTCCTTACAGTGGAGATGTACACGCAAAGCTTTCGCAGAAAAAGAATGAATAGGTTGGTGCAGATGACATTGGTGTGGATCGACACTTCTCCACTGTGTGATCTTGCAATTACCGGTAACAGTGTGTAATGCAAGCTTTTGTTGTCGTGTAACCTATTGATACAGATCAGAGAAATAGGAAGTATGCTCATCTTGTGCCAGCGAGGAAGATACGATTTCTATCATTTTCTGTAAACAATTTTTGCTTTTGTGATTTAGATTTCTTGAAGTTAGTTGAATCAGTAATTTTGCCTCATGAGCACCTACGAAAGGTTGTTTGTGAGCATAACCCAAGGTATACACTTTGTAAATTTCCTTGAAAATATTAGTATGAGAACGCTTTTCTCTTGAACAATTCTGATGACTAGCGTGAGCTGGCAGTGATTTTATGCACTACATCGAAACATGGATATCTGTTTCACCTATCCTCAACATGTTTGTGTACCCTTCCACTTTAATCCTGTCTTACATTTTGGAACCAGACATTGGAATCAAACTCGACAGAACACCAGATCCCTATTTATCATTTCATCAACAAAAGAGGTGAAATAAGAACTGCAACTTCTAAAGAAACAATATACAACATAAATTTATTTCGTGCATCACATTAACACTCAAAAATGCAATAACTGATTTCCGTCTAACTTGTCTACTGGAATATCATTGGAAGTTGCATGTCCCTCTGTTAGTAACTATTGGTACAACCTCAACTGTAATAACCAAAGAAAACCATCTTAGAAAACCTGTTTTACAGAGCTAAAGACGAGCATTGACCAACCAAGGAAATACATAGTTCGATTCCTCCAGCCAACGTGTCCCAGACAAGTAGAACACCCAATGCATAAAGAGACCCGATTCCTCTAGCCAACCGGAGTTGAACAAGTTGGCCTTGCTTACATGGACAGGCAGAAATGATTGCTCTAGAACTAATCCCTGCATACCAGACCAGAGATGAGGTTAGTGTGTTAAACACCAGGAATAATAAATGTGCATCTGCCTCAATGTATAAGCACAAATGTACAAACAAGACTGCAGCACAATGAGAAAAGTGTACTGGAAATATGGTTATCCTCCAGAGCAAGAGAGGAAGAAAGATCTATTTGATATTTTGGATGAGAGATCTATCCATTAATCTTTCTCCCCCCAAAATCCAAATAGACCTCATTCATCAAGCCCATAGCAGATACTCAGCATAAAGTAATGACTAATGGCAAGCAAAAGAGCAGGAATGGATGTGCTTTAACCCTCCCGTGTTGCTAGGAAGTTAAATCATCATCATTCAATGGGATTTACAAGAGGAGATACTTGAGGAAATTGACAAATGGTCTAAAAAATTCAACAAGGAAAATGGCCATGAGAGAAATGCAACCAACAATCTAAGATATTAGGCAGGTATGTAGCCGAATGAATATGCAACAAGGAAGTTACCAATTGACATGAGAAAGAATGCTCGGTGAATACAAAGACAAGAAAACATATGTCCAAGATATAAATTTCAACAGCACAATGCTGAAATTCCAAGGGGTTGCATTGCTATACTAACTACGAAAAGGCAGTAAAGAAAATGGCAGGGCGTCTAATAAGACAGGATCTACAGGAAATCAAGTACTTCTACCCCAGAAGAGTAACTATAAATGCAAACTACTATATGGACAAAAGAATAAAAAATCAATAACGTGTAGTATGCGAAGTACAAACCATGTTAATCAATTTCAAGTATCATTTTTTTTAAAATTATCATTTTAAATTACTAATTAAATGCAAAATGCAGTATAAAGTCAAGTTTTTAATCAGGATTATTATATACTAAATTTTCTAGTTTATTATTCCAAAATCACTAACCTATATGCATCCATAACATTTTCTTAACCTAATATATTACTTTAGAATTCTATTTATTATTCAGTGTCAGCCACTCTCTTGCAGAGGGATTTTGTGTTGAGGTGCAAACCTAAGTGCTTTTCTTTTTGCACTAGGGCATCACACAAAGCGACGCGAAATACCCAGTATAACAGCACCTAGCTTCAGGGTTTAAGAGTACCTTTAACAACATTGCAAGTCGTCATTTATATATGACCATCTTACAATTTGAGATGGCTTCGTTTATCAGGGTGACCAGTGACGAGAGTACATCCGTGGATCAAGGTAGGAGGGACAGATTAGTAGCAATTCTAATCCAAAAATAAGTTTAGCATAACTAAAGCTAAACAAACCCTAGGATTAAAATCCTACAATATGGTATCAGAGTCACTCTTTAGACAACCTTCGACAATTGTTTATGTCAGAAATATATAATGCATATATAAGGAGAGCATTTTTACCTATCCACATCACAACTACCTTTACAAGTAAACTCTATGACGACAAAGCAATAAAAGATCAACCTACATAATCATAGTTATAAAGGCAAGGATCATAAAGCTTACCAGTATTTGATCAAACCATCCCAACCACATGTAGCAACTTTACTTTGTTCCAGAGGATGCCACTCTGCACCAATACAGACCCCTTCATGACACTTGAGAGTTCTGAAGACCTTACACGATTTCCAATCCCAAAACCAGCATCTGCCTTCACCATCTCCCGATAAGACAAACCGTCCATCAGGTGAAAAGTTGACCTGGCAAGCATAACCAGCGACAATGTGTCCAGCAAATCTTTTCTTTTTATTCAGCTGAAATCTCTCTCGCGTACTATAAATAAGAATCTGGTTATCCAAACTTTGAGCTGCAATCCAATTCCCATTCGGATGGGGCGAAATAGATGGCATGGAATGCATATGGGGTTCACTAATATACTTAATAACAACCGGAATACCATATTCCCAAACACGGAGTGATTTATCATCACTAGAGGTCACAAACCTCCTATTATTATCCACAAAGGTAATTGTATTAACTGCCCCCAGATGTTGATCATACTCTTGTGTAATCTGTCCACTATTTATGTCCCACTGCACAATCTTCTTATCACTCATACCAGCCAAAAGTACATTCTGCTTATCCTCATCAGGGTTAAGCCTCACCACATAGGGTATCTTCCCTGTGGTGAACGTTTGGATCACCTGTCCTGTCTCTGTATCCCAATACTTAATGTACTTATCATACCCAGCTGTCAAAAACTTTGACCCATCATTGCAAAACCAAATATCTCTCACCGCCTTCGAATGTCCCATGTAAGTCCTCATACATTTACCAGAATTGTAAACATCCCAAATCTTCACCTTTGCATCCATCCCAGCTGACAAAATCAAATGACCATGCTTAGGGAAAAACCTAATAGCCGAAACCCCTTTGGTGTGCCCACTCCAAGTATGAACCAATCTTTTTGGTATATAAGAATGATCATTCGCAGCCTTCGCATCCTTAGGTGGAGCGATCCACGATCTACCCTGATAATCTTTTTCCTCTTTACCGTGGAATGTACTCTTTTCAAGTAAAGGCTCAGGCTTTTCTCCACCACCTCTTTCTTCACCCTTCTTCTTAGCATACTCTTCAGCATACTTTTTCTGCTCCTCAGTTAATTCTACTTGTAACCCTTCTTTCTTTCCAGCCCATGGACTCTTCCTGTTCTTCATCAGCCACGTGTCGGTCGCCGGATTCTCAACTTCCGACATGTCCACGTCACCCTCATCACCCTCCTCCTCCATTTTTTCCTTCTTTTTCTCTAATTTCCTCTTTTTTTGTTCATGCTGAGGTATATTATACACAGAAATTGCATCACACTCCTTCAATTTATCCAAATCACCAATGTAACTATTTTCAGAGGGATCAACAGCGTACCCGTATTTCTGAAAAGTGTTGTACTGCTCGTCGAATACAAAAGGTTCAATGGCGGCGTTTTCGACAAACCCTAGCTTGTGATTTCGGAGCCCTTGAGCTAACCCGTCCTTGGCGTAGGGGTGAGCTGGCCCGTAGATTGGTGCCCAGAGTTGTTCGTATGTCGGGTTGAATCCGACGAGGTGATGGGTCGGGTCGAGGGGTTTGGATTGAGCTCTGGCAGCTTCGCCGGCGACTGTTAGGGCTAGCATCGTGTCGTCGACTATGGGGGCGGCGGATTTTGAAGGGAGCATGCGGATTGGGGATGAATCCGGCGAAGGGCTTTGGTCGGAAGTTTGGGAGTTAGGGTTTTGTGGCGGCGATTCGGCGGCTTCATCGTCGGCGTAGGACTGTAAGAGATCCATATTGAGAATTTGCAAGGTTTTCCGAAAAAAATCGGTAATATAAGTCGCACTACTGGTGAGTTAAAACGAAAGGTTTTCTCGATATTTGTGCTACGAGTGTTTTTTCCAGATTCTAGATGACTGATTGCACACAAGGCTAAATTTCCTTAGAAAAAGAAGATCTCCCTCGCTCAATATTACCCCATTTGGTCTATGATTTTGATTTTTGTGCAATAAACTTAATACTTTACGGGAAGGAAAGATACTTTTATCATTGTTCCAAAATTTATTTTTTATCCATTTTTCTGATGTATTTTTAATTGGGCACAAATTTAAGAAAAGACCAAAGGTGTTTAAAATTTTAGTTTAAAATAAGTTTTACATATTTGTGTGATAGTAAATCATCTTATTAAACGCAAAATGAGAAATTTAAAATAAAATTATTTAAATATAAAAATATACCATATTTATTTTTTGAACAGACTAAAAAAAAAAAATACGAGAGTATGTTTTGCAACATTGACATTGTTAATTGCGCCTGATTTCTTTCCATATCAGATGCATTATTAAAACTTAAACAAAGTGTTTTGCTTTCTTATTTATTCATAAACGAATTTATACAACTTATTTTGCCTTTAACGAATCTTTATGAAAAACGAAAAGCTACTCTAAGGTAGCTTCAACTACGATGTGAATCGTAAAATTTGAATTTAACAACTAGTATTAGTACACGCGCGATGCGCGGACACAAATTATATCAAATTGTGATGTATGGTGTTTGAATTATGTACAAATAACCTTAAAATAAAAACCTCTCATATAAAACTTATATAACATTAGATATTAATTATGAAGTAAGATATGAAATTATTGTTCAAATCTCGTAGTGCACAACCTATTTTTTTTATATATTTGTAGCAACCTAACCCCTTGATATTAGTACTTGCATTTCGTTTCGCTGTCAATATTAAAGAATACTAAACATATCATGTTATGATATGTCTTGTTTGAGCACATTAGATCATATTATTTTAATAAAATTCTTACTATCACTTTGTTTTTATCTGAAAGTCAAATATGTCTTATTCATCACATCATTTTTACGCAAATTCTTTTTTCTTTTATTTTTTTTCTTATAGTTATTGTATTATTTATTATTTAATATTATTGTACTATAATATAATTTTTTATTAGCTTAATAATTAAATTAATGTCTTGCTTATTATTCTTT